GAAGTCTCTACCTTCTTTCATTCTTCCATATTCATGTCTTCTTTAAAAAAAAAAAAAACCCAAAAACCCTGTTCACCCCTGTATATCAGAGCCGGCTGGGGCACGGTAGGATACGGCGTTTCAACAGAGAGACGGATATCCGTGATAAAATAGACAGCCTCAAGCGAGAATCGAACTTTTTTCTTCTTTTTTTTTGGTACCGAACTCTGATCAAGGAAATGTACTCATTGTGGATGCTGAATGGTTACCTGCGAAAATTTGTGTTTGGGGGCGGGGGTGTAAAAGTCAGCTTGAGCCCCTACTTTAGTAACATAATAATGTAACCTTCTATGCAAATTGGAAGGGGGGGGGGAGGTTTCCATTCTTTGCGAGCCGTATGTACATTGCCGTGCCATTAAGCACGAAAGACGCTTTTAAAGAGGTGGTGGAAAGGGGGGGGGTAAGCTCATGTCAACTTTGACCTGTACGCACACTTAGTTCAGTTTGTAGAGTGATTGACCATGATGAAGATTGGTATAGCATCAAATCCATAGCTGGCCTTCTTGAACTTGTCTTATGGGGGCAGTGTTCACAGCTCATTGCCTACTTGGCCTGGTCCTGTCGGAGATGGATTTCGATCTGGAGGTCTCATCTCTTAAGAAGGCTTCCATTCTTGAAAGTGGTTTGACATTATCAAAGATACACTTTAGAATCTGACAACAGGAGGCTGAAGATGGTAAGCGATGGACGACCAGTTGTGAGATAATACATTTTTAGTTTTAGTTTTCTGCAACACTTCGCTACCTTAGAATAACACAGTTGTATTTGGGTTACAAAAACCATGAGGTCAGATACCAAATATATCAAAATCGTAAGGTTATTCGGAATCGTTATCAAGATACTGCAAGAATAATTCCATTCCAAAGAAAGCTTGACATGTGAAACTCAAAACTTTTTTCTAAGGTCAAATATCTCAAAACTAGTTACTAATGAGCTGATAGAATTTTGTAACTCTAGGGTAGCAACTAGCAACATAATTAGGTCACGTAGGAGGCGAAGATTAGATGTGTAACAAGAGAGTAACAAACAGTGGCGGTGGGTGGACCAAAATTTGGGTGGGGCTTAGGTTACTTCCAGTTCTTTACCACCATATAGCAAACAATATGAACAAAACTGTGATGATGTTTCTATACTCCCGACGAGCCACGGCACTTTGAGAACCATTCAAATGTGAAGAGTCACCTTTGTCTTCCATCTCTTTGTTCTTAGTTAAATTCTTGTTGATGGTGGGGACAAAGCCGATTCACCTCCAAATTTCCTCTAATTAGTTTTCACGTGATAAAAAAATTTGCCTTAAAAGAAGTTCGACCTGATTTATAACTGTTAAATCTCAGCGGCACAAGCACAAACATGCACACACAGCACTTCAAACATAATACTTCTATGAACTGGATTAGACCGTGTGGACGAGAAAGTGAACGCACCCAACAAAGAACCAATGAGCGCATAGGTACCTGTGTCAGTCGGGGAAAGTGTCGTAAACTTTCACCCCATTGTCAGGGCTAGGAGAGCGTGAGCCCTCGGTACAGTGTTTTTCCCCCCAGTCTTCTACCTTTTTACGAGAAGAGTTTCATTAAGTCGGGCTGTGGGGAAGGGCTCATCTTCGCTGAGCCCTAAAGACATTTGATTGGCTGCTGGGTTACTATAGTTGAAAGCGGTGACAACAGTGGTTGGATAAGGCCACAACCATATTAAGGCCCGACACGGACGGTCAGACCAGACCCGCCGTTTTCCGTCGAGTGTGGCCGACCATATGGACACCGGAGTTTAGCGGTCAGACACCGGAGTTTAGCGGTCAGACACCGGAGTTTGGCGGTCAGACACCGGAGTTTGGCGGTCAGACACCGGAGTTTGGCGGTCAGACACCGGAGTTTGGCGGTCAGACACCGGAGTTTAGCAGTCAGACACCGGAGTTTAGCGGTCAGACACCGGAGTTTAGCGGTCAGACACCGGAGTTTAGCGGTCAGACACCGGAGTTTAGCGGTCAGACACCGCTGTCTTGTAAATATGGCGTTTGGTAGAAGAAGAACATTGTTGTTGCTGTTGCTCTTGAGACCCAGGCAAAAAAGGGAAACCAAGACAAGAACATTTTCAGTGGCTCTCGGACTCGCAACCGTAAGGTCGTGGGTTCGAATCCCGTCAGGGACCCGACGTTGTGTCCTTGGGAAAGGCACTTTACACGAATTTTCCTCACTTCACCCAGGTGGGAATGGGTACCCGGCTATAGACAGCGAAAGATCTTGTCAGTATGTTAGTGTTTGAGCGCTTAATCAGCTGCTTGCACTGTATGCTTCCCGGGAAGCTGAGAATGTTTCGGAGTGTTCTATGGTCTGCTGGGGTAATAATATAGTGTAACGCGCATAGAGCCTGCTGTTGAGCGGGGATATGCGCTATACAAATGCTATCTATTATTATTATTATTATTATTTTTCAGTGCATCCCATCCAAAGAAAACGTGATACACTAGGTGAATTTCATCATTTGT